GTAATAATTGCTGATGGCAATTCTGTGTTCTTTTTGCCAGGTGGGCCTCTTTGTGGATTTCTTTGTGCGGCTCTTTACCCAGCTCAAGTTTCAGGTGGTACAAAGCTGTATCTTTTACCTCAGGCCTTGTTGGACTCAAGTGACCTTTTTCTTTCTGTTCCCATGTTTTGCTCAGAACAGCTGACATTCACACTTCTGCTGTAGGTCATGTTGTTCATGATTAAGCAAGTTTTCATCTTGCTTATGTAATTCAGCTCTTGAACCAAGAAATGTTTCCAGTATCAGGTACATAAACAAAGATAGAAAGAATGAGTGGTTTCCCTTCCTCGTAACTCAGTGTTGAGCTTTGAAAAGGAAGCCTGGCTTCCTGACAGGTTGCATTAGCTGCTCTGGTTGGATGAGGATGCACAGGCTTGGTTCCTGATGCCAGTGGGAGGCCCAGATATTACCAAGTGATTGTGTGTTATGTGGGGACTGTTGTTATTTTCCTTGACCATCCCTGCAGCGGTGGAGGAATGCACTGTGAAAGGCTGCCTTGCACTGTCCTTGCTGGAGCTGCTGGGGTTCAACCTCACCTTTGTTTTTCTTGCCAGTCTTCTGGTCCTGATCCAAGTAAGACTTCAGTCCATTGCTGCTCCTTACACAACCTTGCTTTCCTCTCACACAGGTCCTTGATAATAAGTATCCTTGCCAGAAGCACTTTCTGCCCCAAAACATCAAATAGCTTYACAGTGYTATTTGATTTATCTAAGCAGGSCCTATTGGTCCCTTGCTCTCTTAYGAAATGTTGTTGGTCAGGTATGAARTCAGTGCACCACAGYGTSAGTGTTTCTTTTCCACAGCCTGTAGCAGCTGGATCGGGAATTCCTGAAATAAAGTGCTACCTCAATGGGGTGAAGGTTCCAGGGGTTGTGCGACTGCGGACAGTGATGTGCAAAGCTGTGGGAGTGCTCTTCAGTGTGGCAGGAGGTAAGGAGGGCTCTGGTGTGTTGATCTTGTTGGGAAAAGGAAAGGGAAAAATGCTCTCACTGCTTATATAGGGCACAGAAGGCCCTGTCTTTCTGTTAAAATCATTTTGGTGGTTTGGAGCAGAGTGATGAGCCCTGAATGCATTTATAGAGTAGAAAATAAACAGAAGGATCAGGACTATCAGGGAAGCTGGTGGTTTTCTGAGTGAGCTAGTCAGATGTGACTGTTTGTGGCACAATCCAAGAGAGATAGCTGAGAATTTTCCAGGACATTGTCAGGAGCAGCCTGAAGGCAGTAGGGCAAAATAACCTGGAGAGTTCAGGAGCAGCCTGAAGGCAGTAGGGCAAAATAACCTGGAGAGTTCAGGAGCAGCCTGAAGGCAGTAGGGCAAAATAACCTGGAGAGTTCAGAGTCCTTGTAACAGTTGTTTTTCAATGATTCCCCCCATTTGGAGTGTAAAGTCTGTGCCAGTCTTCACAAACATTTGGGGTCATCATGGGAGCAAGGGGTCAGCACCTCCCTGTGAGGAGCTGCAGGCTTGGCACAGGGAGCTGTGCCATGACATGGGAATGGTGACCTGATCTCTTCTGGCATTGTCAGAATGCAGGGTGGCAGTGGGGAAAGTGTTGCTTCATGAGGTCTTTTTTTCCAGGTCTTTTTGTCGGGAAGGAGGGTCCGATGATTCACAGTGGTGCTGTCGTGGGTGCAGGCTTGCCACAGGTTAGTGCTGGCCTGAGTCACTGTCCTGGTCACGCCACTGCTTTGTAAGAGTAAGTTTCTATCTCCTGTGTTTCTAAATCTTTATTTGTTTGTAGTTCCAGAGCATCTCTTTGAGGAAGATCCAATTTAACTTTCCCTATTTCCGCAGTGACAGGTACTGTACCCAAGATGTGGAGGAGGGGGAGGATGAGTGAGCAGACTTCCTTGGGAGAAGGGTGGTGGGCTGGGGTGAACCAGTCAATTATTTTATCAGTTTCTTTCTAGTTTCCTGCAGTTTCATTCTGCAGCAAGATAATACCAGGGTTTTACTCTTCCCAGCTACTCTGGTCTCCATGTTAATAGATGTTCTCTTTTGCTGCTCAGCAGATCTCTACCCATTTAAAACCTTTAATGTAGGTGGTTGAATGGTTTCATTGTTGGAAACAAGCTCAGTTGCTCACCCCTTATGATTAGGATATACTACAGGGAAGGCTGGTTCACCTGAATGTGAACGAATTCTTGCCCATTCCTCTCTGTAATTATTTCAAGTGATGCTGGAATCCATGGTTTGGGATGGTTCCTCACACATTTGGCAGTTGTGTAGTACCAGAATTTTGCTCTGAGTTTGTGCTCTATGGAAAGAGCACAATTCTGCAGCTTAATGAACAAATGGTGGTGTCTGCCATGGACAGCTCTTCTCCCAGTTCTCACTCCTGAATCCTTGGGATATATCCATAAATGGGAGTGATCTCTTACTTTGTGGAACCTAAGCTTCTCCAGAGCTCTAATTTGCTAAACTGAGATTGTTTTTCTCTTCATTTTAGGGATAAAAGGGATTTTGTATCTGCTGGAGCAGCTGCAGGGGTTGCAGCTGCCTTTGGAGCCCCAATTGGAGGCACTCTTTTTAGTTTGGAGGAAGGTTCTTCTTTCTGGAACCAGGGACTTACATGGAAAGTGGTGAGTGATGAGTCTGACTCTTCCTGTGTGTCTTTTCCTTGAGAAGAGGGCTCCCCTTGGGGGGGCTTGTCCATGACAGCTTTCAGAATATCCTGTCTCTTCCTGAGCTCTCCTGGCAGGAGGGAGGTTGCCTGCTCTATCAGTGCTCTGGAACTACTACAGATCAAGGGCAGAGATGAGTCTGGTACCATCTGGAGCTGTGGGATAGCTCTAGCCAGCAGATTTGGTTTACCTGGGAGGGAGGGCTTTGTACCTGGTCTCTCTGCAGTCTGATTCCTTCCACAGTCAGTTCCCTTCCCGAGGTGTAAGTCTCAAGAAGAGCTGACTGTGCTAATCTTAATTGTGGGAACCTTTGCTTCCCTCCTTTTTTTTTTTTGTCCTACTTCCACAGCTTTTCTGTTCCATGGCTGCCACCTTCACTCTGAATTTTTTCCGCTCTGGGATTCAGTTTGGAAGCTGGGGGTCTTTCCAGCTCCCTGGGCTGCTGAACTTTGGGGAGTTTAAGGTAAAATTTATTGTTATTTCCTCACTCTCCAGTCTCTTGTTAGTCCTGTGTTTCTGTTCGTTAGTTTGGGGGTTTCTTTTGACACGTGCTTGTATTTCAGTGGAAGGTACTTGATGCTTAGCTGCAGTACATTGATATCCTCAGACAGAATTGTTGCGCTTTGGTCTTAGCTACTCAAAATCTCCAGATGTGGAGACAGAAATGTTGGTAGGAAATTGAAGCAACTACTGTAATGTTTTTTTTTTTACACTTTTCTGCCCTTAGTGCTCTGAGTCTGATAAGAAATGCCACCTCTGGACAGCTGTGGACTTGGGCTTCTTCATTCTGATGGGGATTGTGGGAGGCCTTCTTGGAGCCACCTTTAACTGCCTGAACAAGAGACTTGCCAAGTACCGCATGCGCAACGTGCATCCCAAGCCAAAGCTGGTCAGGTATATGTGCTGTCTTGAGTTTTTGCAGGGATGTTTGATCTGGTTTTAGTGTCCCAAAGCAAAAACATCCATCTAGAAGACCCACAGAGTAGGACTGGAGGAAATCCCAGACTGGATATTTTAGAAGTCGCAAAATGAAGCCTCATTTAAGTAGAATTTGAAAGTGAACACTGGAAACCAGGTGTTACAGTCCCTGTAATTTTTTTAATGACTCTGGTGGTGCAGAGAGTTGCAATCCTTCTTACAAGGGCAGTGAGGGAAGCTCTTTATCATAAAGGCTGAACAAGCCAGAGCTTTGTTTCCATGCAGGATTTTTTTGTGTCCTTGTCCAAACAGATGTGGAAGGAAAGCTGATCTCACTTTTTTTTTTTTTTTAAATTACATTGGTCAAAGTCACAATATCTGTGCTATTTAGAGAGAACTGTTGTTATTCTGAAAGTATGTGTTTGCTCTACACAGCTCCTAAACATGAAGCCCAGGTTTAAAAAAAAAAAAGTGTATTTCAGCAGTTAGAAAAGAGATTGAGAGACTATGCATCACCTTGCCCAATCCTATCTACCCTTTTACCCTGTAAGGGTGTACAAAACGTTGTTTCCATTTGAACAGCCTCATTACTAAACCCTGGGGCCTTTCATGTGTGACTGCTGCGTGTTCTCTGGGCAGAAATAGCTCCTTTTTGGGACAAGCAATTAAAAAGGGGAGTTAAGGCAATCCCTTGGAGCCAAGTCATAATTCAACTTGATTTGCATTGTCTCTTGTTCTGATGCTAAGCTGTGGTGACTGCTGCTTCTTGCAGCCTTATCAAAGCCCTGTGCAGAGCTGGGACTGGATTACAATGCTGAGTGTGGCTTCAATATATGGTTTCTGTTGTGTCTTTCAGAGTCTTGGAGAGCCTGCTTGTGTCATTGACCACCACTGTCGTGGTCTTTGTAGCCTCCATGGTTCTGGGGGAATGCCGGCAGATGTCTTCCAGCAGGCACAGTGGCAATGGCACACTGAGCCTGGAGGTGAGGGCTTATGTGAAGATTGTATTCTCTGTTATATTTTTAACCCTGCACAGGCACATAATGAGCTTTTGAGAGCATGCAATCCATGAATGAACTGCAGTGAGAACCTGTGGAGGGTTGCAGGAGTTTAGAGTAATAATGAAAGCTACGTTTTGTACAAAGCAACTCAGGCTCTGAGTCAAGGAGGCCATTGATGTTGTAGGCCCCATCTCTGCTATTGATGTTTGGTCTGAACTTCCCAAAGCATGGCTAGCAGTAACAAAAGTGATATTCCTATTCTGCCCAAAGGCTTATGTAGGAGACCATGATTTTTTAACCCTTTTTGTTCTTTTGTGTCCTGCATTAGGATGTAACAGAGGATATAAATTCAAGCATCAAAACATTTTTCTGCCCAAATGAAACATACAATGACATGGCCACACTCTTCTTCAACCCTCAGGAGTCAGCTATCCTGCAGCTCTTCCACCAGGATGGTGAGTAGTTAGAAGATGGCCTCATCCTATGCTTAAGCTTGAGAGCTTCATCTTACCTGGAACAGCCTTGTCATAAGCACCACAAGGCTAGGAGCACCTTCAGGACTTCATGGCTCTGAAATACTGCTAGTACAACAGAAAGTCTCCTTGATGGGAAGAATGGGCTGCTTTTCCTCTCTTTTCACTTACTGATTGTCTGCATGTGTGTTTGGACTGGGAGACTCATTAGCTGCTGTGAGATGAGCCTTTTGTGAGCTGAGGGGTGGATGGACGGTGCAAGACTCTTGCACAGACCTGTGCCCCTTTAGTCATGATTCTTCTTGTGTTGCAGGTACTTTCAGCCCAGTCACCCTGTCCCTGTTCTTCCTTCTCTATTTCTTACTCTCCTGCTGGACATATGGGATCTCTGTGCCCAGTGGTCTGTTTGTGCCATCACTGCTTTGTGGGGCTGCCTTCGGACGCCTGGTCGCCAACCTCCTCAAAAGGTGCATCACGTGTGCGTGTGAGGATGTGCTGCAGGTGCACCCTGAGCTCTCAGACAGGTTTTTCTAATCTGAGGGCTCTGTGCTTTGCCCTAGTTACATTGGCCTGGATCACATCTACTCAGGAACCTTTGCGCTGATCGGGGCAGCGGCATTCCTGGGAGGCGTGGTCCGCATGACCATCAGCCTGACCGTCATCCTCATCGAGTCCACCAACGAGATCACCTATGGCCTCCCCATAATGATCACTCTCATGGTGAGTGCAGGGCCTTAGCTCTGGCTTTCTACAGACTGCTTAAACATGCTGGCCCTGAATCTTTGTTCCCTGGAGGGCTGTCATAAGCCAAGGAGTCTTGTGCTTGGAGTAACAGCTCAGTAGATCTTCTGTTTGCTCTGCAGGTAGCCAAATGGACAGGAGACTTTTTCAACAAGGGCATCTATGACATCCATGTGAACTTGCGAGGCGTGCCTCTTCTGGAGTGGGAAACAGGGGTGGAAATGGATAAGTAAGGCTGTTTCTCTTGGCCAGCTGTGGGTTAGTGTTTGTGGGGGGTTCTTGCTCAGAAATTACTTAATGCAGGAGGATGATGCTTCATCTCCAACAAACCCGGTTGCTCTGAGGAGCAGCTGTGAGGGGTGCTGTGAAAGGAGTTGTGCACCAGGCCAGCAGCAGAGATGCTGAAGCCCTTTCTGAGGAGGGGTGGATGGTTGGAAATCTGCACAGTGGGTTTGGGACGTTCAGCAAGAACTCTGTGAAAATATTCCACTGGACTTTGCTTCTTGTGGAATATCATCTTCTTCGCACCTTTTGTCTCTTCCCAGGAGGGTTTCAAAACTTTCTATGTTAGGGTTTTATATTTATTTATTTTCATTTATTTATATATTTATATATTTATATATTTATATATTTATTCTATTTCTTCTAGCACATTATTGATACAATGTTCTGTTATTAAAAAAAAAATTAAATCAGTTGTACCATCACTGTTGATAACACAGTGACAGTGAGAACACACATAAAAGGAGCTGGCAGAATTGAACTGCAGCAGACTCCTTCACGATCTTGCTTAGGGAGTGGTTTGTTTCCATGTTTGTTCATCACCAGCATTCTGTGACTGACATGATGCATGCAGCAATCTTGTGTTTCTGTTCCTTCAGGCTACGAGCCAGTGACATCATGGAACCCAACCTGACATACGTGTACCCACACACCCGGATTCAGTCCCTTGTCAGCATCCTGCGCACCACTGTCCATCATGCCTTCCCTGTGGTGACGGAGAACCGGGGCAATGAGAGGGAGTTCATGAAGGGAAATCAACTGATAAGTAACAACATCAAATTCAAGGTAAAGAGTTGATAAGTTGAAGAGTAGAGAGCTTTTTTTCTCATATAAGATGGCCTTGCTTTAGTTATTGGGCAGAATTCAGGTCAGAGATAAGCACCTACTGCAGTACAAAATTTTTATTTTCCATTTCATTCCATTCTCTGGATGATGGTAGACACAAAAGAGTGGGCTGCATTCCTACAGGCAAAAGTTAAGAGGACAAAGTAACCTGTTTAGGATAGACGTAGAAAAGTTTGGATTTGTCCTGTTGGCTATTCTTACAGGTCCTGCAGCAGCAGTGGCTAATGAAAATGTTATGTGATGGCACAAAGCTATGATCAAGTAGTTCATAATCACACTTGGATAACTGTTGACTTGCTTAGTGAGTATCTGAAAATTGTTGTACCCAGAAATCCAGCATCCTCACCCGAGCTGGAGAGCAGCGCAAGCGTAGCCAGTCCATGAAATCCTATCCTTCGAGTGAGCTGCGCAACATGTGTGATGAGCACATAGCAACAGAGGAGCCTTCYGAAAAGGAGGATCTGCTGCAACAGATGCTGGAGAGAAGGTGAGATCCTGGTAGGCACAAATGTATGGAAACAGGGTTTTTCYCTATGTTGAGATGTGTTTTAAAGAATGCTTTATACAGTYTCYGTCATTCCRTATGTCAACAGAAACAGTGCTGGTRTCCATGTTTTAGAAGTGACTTGTCAGGTCTCAGGAGACTGCAGCTCGTACCTATGACCAAGTCTTAGGCAAGTGGGTTGATTATGTCCAGCCTCTTAAATTTCCTTCAAACACCTGTACAAAAGGATTTCCTGGAGAGGATGGAGAASATCCTGGGAAGATCTCTTTGTAGAAATCAATGTCCTCTTGTCTACAAARATGTGAGAGCTCTGGAAAGCTCGCTTATCCCAGTTGAATCTTTGGTGCCATGATACTGATCCCAACTTTCTGGTAACTGGGCTAATTCACCAGGCTTGTATTACTGTTGCCTTCAAGCAGAAGCCCAGTCTAGTGAATCATTTGCTGAGTTAGTGATTGAGACTTTCATGAATGGCATCCTGACCCTGACATTTTGCCAGATGCTTCAGYTTTTATTAGAATCCGAATAATTTGGCACTGAAAATTGCTTTAGTCAGTGATTTGAAACTGAGCTAGGAGACTGTCCTGTTCTGCTGCTCTGACCACATAATGATTCTTGACCCCTGTCTCCTATTTTGTTTTGTGAAATGAAGACTTACTTGTCCCTAGCAAGAGTCCTTAAAATGTTCAGAAGGTTGCAAAGAGCTGCTCTTTTGGGAGTTGGGGTATGTGAAGCTTGTAACACATGGTGTTAAATCCATTACAGATACACTCCCTACCCCAACCTGTACCCTGACCAGTCTCCCAGTGAGGAGTGGACCATGGAGGAACGCTTCAGACCCTTGACCTTCCATGGCTTGATCTTGCGCTCACAGCTGGTCACCCTTCTCGACAGGGGAGTTTGCTACTCTGAGAGCCAGTCGGTGAGTCTTCCTGGTCAGGAATTGCTGCAGAGACAATCCCTGCCCTCTCAGCTGAGGATGTTGAGAACAATATTCATGGGCTACCAAAAAGAATTCACCTATTTTTGCTCTTTAAGGAATGCATGTATGTTGTAAAAATTGCAGACAGGCAATGTGAACTCTTCTTGCAGCTCTCAAAGGAAGTTGAATTGTTGTTTAARTATCCCCAGGAAAAGAAGATAGCCACTGTTTAAAAAGTAAACCATCAGACCCRTTTATTGCATAGAGATATCATCATCCTGTCAGAACTGGAGACCAGAAGGCAGATTTTAAATGCAAATAGAGCACTCCACAGTATATACTGTGTTGAGATCTTACCAGTGTCAGCTATGTCACTGAGATCAGTGAGRGTATCTGAGGCCTAGCTCCCACAARGCTGATTTCCTGCTGCCCTCCAGTGTCAACTGAGATTTGTCAGAGGCTGGGGAGCAGGTCCATTCTCTGTCAGCTAAAGGCCTGCATAGGTTTGACTTTGCACTGATAGGTACTAACAGCACGTATGTGCAAGGTGGATGTGTGGATGTTAGGGGAGGAGAAGATCTTGGTGAGCAATTAGGGGGCATGGTTTGCTGCTCTGCTTGCAGTGCCTGTGTTGTCTGGAATGGTGGCACGTGGATTCATGGGGTTTGTTTTCATTGCAGAGTGCAAGTCAGCCCCGTCTGTCCCATGCAGAGATGTCAGAGGATTACCCCCGCTATCCAGATATCCATGATCTGGACCTCACATTGCTGAACCCTCGGATGATAGTGGTAAGATATGCACTGCAGTGTGACAGTGTCTCCTGATAGATACTTACGACTTTGAAAGCCTTTGAAAAACATTGAGAGCATGTTTAATACACCCTTTGATGCAGTGACCAATATCCATTGCCTCTCATGCACTCACCCTTCTCTGCATGTGGAAGTCATCATACCTGCTAGGAGGTAACAGCATCCATTGGTACTTTATTTCTGGAATAAGGTGTTGCCTGTCCAGTTCAATTTCCCAAGAAACCAAACCAAAATAATGTCAAATTTATGCAGAAATAGAAGATGATCACCGTCAAATACCCTGTCCAGACATCGATGCTGTGGAGGATTTGTAGGCATTGCTTGCTGGTGATTTCCAGAGACTGAAAATGCATCTTGAAAATAACATGATCTTTTTTTTTTTTCTTAGGATGTTACCCCATACATGAACCCATCACCCTTTACTGTCTCTCCMAATACCCATGTGTCACAAGTCTTCAACCTGTTCAGGACAATGGGACTCAGGCATTTACCAGTTGTGAATGCAGTTGGAGAGGTGAGTCCTTATCTTGTCTTAGTTGAGCAAGGAAGCCACAGTATTTGTGCAGCATTTTCTATCTTTGGGACAATTAATATCTCTTTTAACAGCAAAAAGAAATGCTTTAAAGAGGTCAGAATGTGATCTTCTTAGGGCCACTGAAGACTTGCTGATTACTGTGACTTCGTTGCCATCTTTTGTGTCCCAGCCTGCTTCCACTTTATCTGCAAAAGGCAGGACATACAATTTTTCTTGACTCAGGTGTGCAGCCTGTAGAAGCTGTCCCATTGAGGCCTTGAGCTCATCAGAGACCACTAATTTGCCTTTCCTTTCACAGCTTTATTCAAGGCCAAGAGCAAAATTTCCTATATGTTGGGGCAAGAGATTTTTCTAAAGGGAGGGAACTTGTATTCTGTTCCTACTCACAGAAGGGCAAAGTAAAAGTGTTTGAATGGCTTGTGCTTGAATCACTATCCTCTCTTCACCATCTACAATGCTCAGGAGCAGTCAGTAGATGTCAGCAACCTCCTCTTACCACAATAAGAAACTGTTTCTCTTAAGCCTGACCTGGTCTGTGTGAGACAGCGCTGCTTTTTCTGCCTTGTGCTTCCCCATAATTACTCTGCAGAACCTGTGAGCTGCAAACAAGAGATACTGGCCTGTTCCATTTTAGTACAAGGTGCTCATGCAGTACTAGAGATCAGCCTAGTTCTAAACTCTTCTAGTTTGTAAAATCAGTGAGGTGTTTAATCAGCTGAAATGTGTGGTTTGACTGCTTCCACAGCAGGCTGGGAGAGGATCCCTTTTGTCAGCTGCCAGTGTGCAGTCACCTCTTAGCTAGTCTTGACCATTTCTCTGTCTTGGCCTTTAGAGCTTCCTTGAATGTATCTGATAGGAGTTACCTGAAGTCAGGCCATGTGGAATATCAGAAATGTCTTGAATTAAGCCATAAAAGACAACTTTGTTATTTCCAATGGTAGTTTTCACTTCCCAAAGGATTTAGTTACATCATTAAGCTGTTTGGCATGGACAGGATTTCCCTTCCTAGGCAAGGGGATTGACTGGTTCCAGACACCACAGCAATGGTTAAACTGTTTGTTTGGGTGTAGTTAAATCAGTGTTTTTACCTGGAGTGTAAGTTTTGGGAGAGGATGGGATTTTGTTTCTGTGAAATTTCAACTTAAATCCACTCTAACTCACCATTGGTCAAGAACTGCTGTCAGGTTTCCTCTTTTTGGGGAGTTGAAAAGAATGACTAGTCTGTTAAGGATGTCTCTTAGTGGCACATCTCTGATACTGGCTTGTATATTGTTTTCTCTTTCTGTTTAAGGTTGTTGGGATAATCACTCGGCACAACCTGACCCATGAATTTCTTCAGGCAAGACTGAGACAACACTATCAGACCATTTGATGCCCCTGTCCCAGTGTCAGTGTGGCTTCCTCCATCCTCCAAGCCTGTACACGCACTCGAATTCTGCTTGGACCCCACAAGGCTCAAGACTTGCCATTTGGCTTCTCACRTGCATATCAAGCCTGGGGAACTGGAAAACATCTTGCTAGCCAGAGAATTAGAGGAGCTGCCTGAGCCCAGGGCTGTTGATTGGCCTCAGGCACTTGGTTTGACCACTCTTGATCCAGGTGTTTTCTTCCCCTGTCCCCCAGTTATCTCCTTCCATCAGATGTTGTCCTGACCACATGTTCTGCCATTTTGTTTTGGGATTTTCTTAAGAGYTGGAAAAAAAGAACCATCTCACTCCACTATGTCCTGTGCAAAGAACTGTGGCATCTTTCCTTTCCTCCTGTCTGATTCTCTTTTACTCTTCCTCTCTTGTTCCTGCAACTGTTGCCTTATTTGTGTGAGAAGGGGGTCATTATCAAGGCTGAGAGGAGATTCTGAAGTTTGCAGATATATAGCTGCTCTGGAAGATGGTTTTTCACAAAAGCAGTATTAAAAAATCCAGCATTTTGGAAATRTACCTCTCTTTGCAAGTGCTCCCCTTTGCCCATGTTTTTTTCACTCTGGCTTCATTTGTTCTTAATTTCTCTCTTTCTTTCATGAGGAAATGTTCCTGCTGTAATATTTTTGACAGCAGATGACTGTTGAGAGCAACTCAGCAGATTTGGAGTTCAAAATGGTTGAATTTCAGTTACTGTTTGGGTTTATAAATATCATCTCAGAGAAGGGCARTCTTTCCTGTTAGCTGTTGCTATTATCTCCCTGTAAGAGACCCTTCTAAGGCACTTGGTGGTACTTCACTTTGTCACTGACATTCCTGCATTTCTTGCCATTTGTAGGCACTTTGTCCCTTCACTGGTCACAGGGAGAGCCTGGGGCTGGATTTCCAGCTGGATTTAGAGACCAGGGAACCCCACATGGAGAGCATGGAGAAATGTTGCTTTCTGGATGCAAATAGTTGGACTTGGTTGAGTTGTCTCTGTGTCATGAGAGGAGCTGCTGTAGTTTCAGGCTGCCATAAGGAGGGATACTTGGTGCTGGTGATAAGGCAGGATCTGCTGCAGGTGATAAGTGAGGCTGTCTGTGCCCAAAAAATGCTTGGGAGAATGTTTGCAACTGCAGCAATCTGTAAGGGTAAAATCAGTACTTAGGAGCCAGTTGCAGCCAGTTCAGTGCTTTAGCAGGTACCATCCTGGCCAGCACCTGTATTGTTCCAGCAGGCACCTGCCTTCCTGAGTTCTGTGTGCAGATAACCCTCAGTGGGAAGCCAGTGCTGTGCCTCAGGGACTGCAGAGCTGATTGGCTTGATAAAGCACAGAGCATTCTCAGCCAAGAGACTGGGCCAAGTTACATGGGGAATGTRTTCAAGAAAAGCTTCTACACAGCCTCTGAGCCTCCAGTTAACCTGTTGTCTGCCATAAGGAGCTGGCTAGGTGGGAGTTGGGACAGAAGGAAGCCAGACTTTGTTGATTTTCTGTGTTTCCTTAGATCATAGGAGTTTTCATCAACTATTATTGATTTGTGAGTTCTTTCACTGTAAGTAGAGTACAGATGTTTGTTCTCTCTGGATAGTCTCTGCAGGTGATGTCTAAAATGCCTGTGTTCCCTGAGCTCTGGTTTTACACTGAGCTATCCCAGGAAAGTTCCAGCACCCATTTGCACTCCTGTTTTGTGGGATTTCATGTCACTCAAGTGTGGAATTGGCAATGACGTACTGTTAGAGCACCTGTCAAGAATGTCTTGTGTCTCTCCATGACAAATGGTTTTCCTCTTGCTCATGTTGAGTGAATGCATGTGGAAGGGAAGGTTCCTTCTCTTCCTGCACATGAATAGGGCTCCTTAGGTTGTTTGCCTTGAAATGGTCCTGTTTTATTTCTGTTCACAAACAGCAGGATATTTTGCTGCAGGATATCTTTGTCATTGCTGCTGAGGTTGGAGTTGGGCAATCCAGACAAGTCAGGCTGGAGAATCTTGCCAAGGTTTTTCTGAGCACCAGATGTTTCCCCTTGAGAAGGCACCTTTCCTTCAACCTGTTGTCAGCACTACCTGGGCATCTTATTCACATTTTTCAGTAGGAAAACACACCCTTTCATTCTTTCAATAGTTTTCAATGGGGATGGTGAGGGACCCTGTCAGCTGCTTTAAAGGGAAATTTCAGCRTGCAGTTATTTTCTGTAGCCTGCAAAAAGGGAATTACAAGTTCAGCTGACATTTGGAGATGTAGCATTTTCCTTCTGCTAAGGACTGATGCCAAGGGGTTTGTGTTGAATCAGTCTTGTTCTCACTCTTTAGTTACTTAATTCATTTCTTAGAACACACTTACTGCTTCTACCCTGGCTCTAGTTGCTTAGTGATTTACCAAGAAATTTACTTTAATATAGGTGCCAGTAACMTTTTACCAGAGCAACACTAAAGGAAAAATAACCCAGAACTGGAGTTCTGATGGGGGTTAGGGGGTTAGTCTGGGGCCTTCTCCCTTGCCTCTTGATTCCTGCGCAATGTTAATTATGCAGTTTTGAATTATTAATTATGTGAGCCATTCCAATGGTAGCAACTTACCTTTCCCTTTGGTTTTTTTTGCACTGTTTTTGTTATGAAATGATGTAAGCTAATTCCATGGTGTGTATATAAATTGTATTTTTTTTATATTTGTATGAATATATTTTTATTTGAACTATGGCACTTGGGAAGTATTCATGTAACTGTAACATGTCTGAGAGTAAAATGTTTGTGTGTCTCCTTCAGCCTTTCAAGGCTTTTTGATGTTTCTAGTATTATTTTATTTTTTCCCTTTTGATGTTTCTAGTATTGTTTTATTTTTGCCCTTTATGATAATAAAACTGGTAGAACATGGTGACATCAAAGAGCATGATTTGTTGAGTAGTGCTATTTGTGAGCTGTCTGGATCTTCCAGTTTGTGGAGAAGGTGCTCTTAGGCTAGGAGAGGAATGGCTGTGATCCTTTAGGTTGTGACCACTGTAGTTCCMCATTCTCTCACAACAGCTGTTTCAAAGGAGGGAATTGCTAAGTTTGACTTGCTAAGGACTTGACTTTGCTAAGGAGCTAAATTGTGCACACTGTGCTGCTTTTCTTACCTGAGAACTCACCTTCCTCCCAGTAAGTTAAAGAGGTTTAGAGTACAACGTGGCACCTCTTGTTTTACAGTTRGTTTCTCCACGGTATGAAACACTTYAGTTTCACCTTTAATGTTTATTTAGTTTGTGGCTATCTTTCCCACTTTGTCCTTCTGTCTGCCTTACAGAAAAGAATTTGGGACAATTTTTGATCTTTCATCACATGCTTAGAGGCTGAAAATATAAGTACACTTCTACACTGTAGAAATATCTGACCCAAAAAGCTCAGTGCCTTTCCATGTTTCTATGGATCAGGGGCCTGTGTTGTACAGAGTGCACGTAGTATCTCTACTCTGAGGTAGTCTAACACAGAGTTAGCCAGCAGCTTGTCTGGCTCCTACCCTCTGGCTCTCTCTTGGTGTGTGTGTGTGATGATAGGGAAAGCCTGAGATAGGAAAAACCACCTCTTGAGAGGGAATGGCAGAAAATCTGGTTCAGGGAGCTTAGGAAGTGCCATGGTGGTTGTAACTAAGCAAGGAATAGGAAGGATACCCTAACAAGGGCAGGAAGGAGTCATCAGGAGAAAGGACTGGGGGAACTCTGCTTTGGTCATAAAAGCAATGTAGGAGGGAATGGGAGAGGTTTATAGTCTTGTTCAATCCAACCATGTGTCATTGTCACTGTAGTGACACACTGGGGCTCTAGCAGAAAAATTTACTGGTCAGTAAAATTATTTTAATTTTTGCTTTGCTAGCAGGATACAAGGTGCCTCTACAGTTTGTGTACATTCCCACACAGGTTTGTGTATTCCCAGCTGTGCATCAAGCAGCATCCACRGGAAGGAACAGAGGATGGCTGTGCAGTGCTTTGGCTTTGTGGGGTGTAAGGAGARAGTGAAGCTGCTCTTCTTGTCCAGGGTGCTGAAGGGCTTTTCAGCAGCAGTGTGATACACTCAGYCTCCTCTGCATCCACTGTTTGCTCAAATGCAGTGTGTGAAAGGCTTACTGGGAGCTGGAATGAGAAGTCAGTGTGCTCCACTGCTGTCTGGGAAGGCAGGAAAGTCAGTCGTTGAGATCTGGACATTGAGATCACTGTTTAAAAGTAGGATTTATTTTCTCCAGTTTGTGCCAAAACTGCAGAAATAAAGGCACAAATTGCTGTATGAGCTAAGTATGGTTTAACACACTTTTTACTGATCTTTTAAACATTTTGGAGCAGAGGGTGGAACCCCTATGTACCAGTGTCAGTAGAAAACAACACTGAGTTGAAAACTCACAACTAACAAATAAGATGAAAACTGTAAGACTTCTGTTGACTCCCCCAGCAGCTCCTGGTTGCCTACACTAGAGAGTATGTCTGGGATGGCCTAATGAACACACTAGTTTTATCTTTCTTTTCTTTCTTCCCTGTTCACAGCATAGCAGACCTGACTGTAGCTGTTTTCATAAATTTTCCCTCCTCCCTGCTCTGCTTTTTCTGTACAGGATTGTGCTGGTTTTCTGAGAGAGCAGTCAGGCGAAGGTAATAGAGGGGAAAGGTCTTACAAATCTTCCTTCCTTCCTTCCCACATAAAAGTGTGGGACACACTTACTAAGCAGATGTCAATCAGCARAGACCTTTGGGGGCTAAGATTCAGGGGAAGTGAATGAAGCAAGCTGGCTGTGGCCAGACTGGGATGTGACAGCTCCACATCTCCCTGCAGCAGCAGAGGGTGTGTGCCCTGTACTTCACATAYGATTTCTTAGAGAAACCAAGCAGTGCTAACAGCTCCTCTTGGCATTCTTGCCTGCTGACTTGGATTTTGGTGAAAGCATTTAATCTAGTGGGAGCCACAGGGGCCAAAGAAACCATCAAATCTAATTTGCAAATATACCCTACACCCAGCAGACCCCTATTCTGAACAAGGCTCATTCCTTGGGTGGAATTACTGTATTTCACAGTCCAAAGGAAAGCAAGTTGCTGAATTATGCACTGCCAAATACTCTTAGGATATGGGAATAAAGTCTGGCAGGGCAGGAGTCATTACAAATGTCATTACAGCCTGTGTGGAGGGTGTTAGCCTGGTCCTTCTCTGGTCCCACTGGGATATTTCTTCATTTGCATGATGGCTGTTCCCAAGATTGTTCCCTGCTCTCTCTGATCCAGCTCTCACACAACAGCAGCAGCTTTGCCTTTCCTTGAGGGTGATGTTCTTTGCCTGTAGAGCTGAGCAGCATCAGCTTTCTCCCATTCAGCTTTTCCCAGTGCTTGTTCCTGAGTGTAGCACTATTCTGACCTGACTGCGAGATTTCTCTGAGGGAGCTTTACAGCTCAGTGTGTTTATGGGAGTAGCAGTAAAAATCCAGTCAGAGATGCTTTTTTCCTCGATTGCTTACCCTCAATTAGGTTCTCCCAGACCGCAGGGTCTATTAACATGCTGTCTGCAAGCCAATACAGACTTGTTCCACCAGGAACTGGCTTGCTGTTAATACTGGACCCACCTGGCTTTAGGTCAGGCAGCACTGACTCTTCTTGCCATTTTTAGCACATTCCACTGAACTAATTAGTGTTTTGTACCTYGAGGGGCTGACAGGGAGGGACAATTTACAGTGTCTGTGCAAGTTTTGCTTGAGTGGGTAAAATTCAGCTCCAGCAAGAGCTATTGTTAGARTATGTGGATTGTTTTTACTTTTCTTTATAGCAGTACAAGGGAAGTCTGGCTGTTGCCCATTGCTGGTGTGGAGAGATCCACCTGCTTGTTCTCATCGTGCTGCAGTGCAAAAAAGATGTGTTTGGAAAGCCTTTTTAGAAGACAAAGCCCCATTGTCCCCACAAGGGCTCCCTGAAGGGTGACTTCACATCCCTTGATTTGTGAAATTGCCTCTGACTAATGCAAAGTCTTTGTAGCTTTCACTGCAGAGATGTCTGGTGGATGCTGCTGGGAATCTTAACCTGGAAATTTATTCTCCTGTGAGGGAAACCTGTGTGCACACTATTCCACMAAGTGTTTTATCTGTAGCTGGTGCTGCTGGAAGGAGAGGCTCTGACATRTGATTTGTATCACACTGTGGTTTCCTGTTGGAGTGGAGCAAAATTGCTCTCTCAGATTAGACTTTTGCCCTTCTGTCCTAGGAAAGAATCACAAAGCCCAGTGYGGAGAGGAGCACACAAATCCCTCTTGGAGGCCATGTCAGCAGTTCAGGGAGTGACTGGAAGGGTGGCTTGTCAGAAGTGTGATGTGTGATATGAACCCTATTAAAGTGTTGCAGCAGCCTTAGCTGTGACTGACCCTGTGCTGGAGGGCTGTGCACTTGAATTTACCCTTTCCCTAGAGTTGTGATCCCTGAGAGCTGTTGTCAGCAGCTCTCGAACACTTACCTTCCAGTACTTTATCCTCACCAGGTAGTATTTCTGTCCCCACATGTATTTGCATAAGCAAAGTCAGAATTGGACTGTTCCAGCTGASTCTGTCCTGGTGCTGCCTTCTTAGGCCCTGAAAAAGCTTCACAGGGTACTCTGTTACTTGGGAATGAGACTGGGAATGGACTCAGATTCTGGGAATAAGACTCATGAGGCACTGAAAATAACACAGTTCCTAGCAGTACATGCAGTCAATCACAGGACAGTTGTGTTGAGCTGGGCTTGATGCCATKGCCAGGGCTCACGTGGGGATCCAAGCTCTTTGTTCCTTGGGATGTTGACTGAATGTGTTTTTGGCAATATTGCCATCTTTGGTGGGGTGCTAGAATATGTTTTGGGTCAAATTTAGCTCCTAGGTATGAAATCCAGCAACTAAGGTTAAATAAACCCTCATTAAACTTCCATTAGCCATGTTAGAACAGCTCTGTGAGGAACATTCCCAGAAAGTTCTATGTCCCAGATAAATGTTCTGTACAAGCTGCTTTGGAGTTGAGTGCTCCCACCTGCCCTCTCATGAGGAATATAATCTCAAACCCTTKGAGAAGCCTTCAAGAAATGTTGGGAATCAGCATCTCAGCCACATGCAGAGTGAGACAAGACACAGTTAATGRTGTATTTTTCTGTTGATGCTCGTAACCTTTATTTGGTCACTGCTAGAAAGCATATACAATTAATTCCCTTTCCTCCCCCTGGTTTTCTAGAAACTTGTGGAGTGTTATGATTTTTTCTTATTTCCTTTAATGTAAATTTGCTTACATAAGGCATTTGTGGCAGTTCCCATGACTGAATAATCTGAACCAGCAAAAGGACTCTCTTATTACTGAAACCCTGTCTATAGGAGAACTCATGATGGTCTTTCAATGTTAAGCAAGTTTTTTTTCTCTGCTAATCTATTATCATTTCTTAGTACAGAGGAAAATCCTCCAGTGAAAAAGTAATTTTCATTTTTGCCAAGTTCATGCTTTCTCTGTCTCATGTAAGTAAGATCCAGCCTTGTGGGTACCAGAATATCAAYAAAACTTAGGATTTTGATTTTAGGAAAATACACGAAAATTTAATGCAACAGACAGGAGAGAGATCCAGCATAGATGCTAATGTGCTAGTTTTATTTAAAGATCATCTTTTGATGCTAGTGTAAGAAATGCTCTTTAAAAAACATCAAATAAATAAATAAATAAATAAATAAAAATAGGAATAATTCTGTTGAGGAGCTTAGAAGGCATCTGACTTTCATCTTGGGAGGAAGGGGTACTGTAAAGCATTCTTCAGAGCAGGGAATAGGGAAGTTGATCCTAATTTCTCCGGGAACCTGCAAAYCAAATATRAAATAAATGTTATTAGAATCTATTTCTATCTTGGTTRTGTGTCACCATTGTTGGCAGTGCTTGTGAAAAAYCCATACTAGCTTAAATACTAGRTTCAAATTAATTCSATTCTCAAACTGTGTCCTCTCATTWAATGAGAAGCTGCTCCTTCCCTGTCCCATGGCACAGTCATGGTCTGTGCTMTSCAGTGAAATAAATGGCTTAGACAGSACTCACCATTGCAGCCCATCCCACTGAGGGAGCCGATCCGATCAATCCTCCTCCCAAAACAGCCAGAATCTCTCATCATCCTGGGCATCTGCAGCCCCCTCAGTCTCTTGAGGAGGGGCTCCCTGTAGAGCAGAGGGGTGTTGGGTGCAAGCCTGGGTTCAGCCTTCTGGTCATCACTGTCATTGGTGAGCTCTGGCAGGGTCTCCTCCTGGGTTTTGGGTCCTTGCAGGTCAGGATTGGACTCCAGAGCTTCAATCATTGCAAATTTATCCTCCAGTCTCTCCAGCAGAGCCTATAAGAGAAGGAATAAATCCATGAAGCTCCTTGTTTTGTGGTCATTTGCTAAGTCTTCCAGTCATTCTGTTCTGCCCTAGGGAGACTGTCAGGTTGGATCCCAGACTTACTGGTGGTTGTTGGGCTCTGTCCTCTGCACTATATCCCTGTTCACATATGGCAAGATACAGCTTCAGCTACTTAACAGATTGAAGCTGCTTGCCACCAAGTGTCTGTTACTGCAAGGTTAGAAGACATCTTGGCAGGGAAGAAAAAGCAATGTGTGGGTTGCCCAGGGAGATATCACTCAGCCCACCAGTGGTACACAGCCTGAGAGAACCTCTAGCCAAATAGCTCACTCCTGTGTTCTCAGAAGTTGCTGCTTTGTCACCCCTGGCTATTTCAATGGACATCACTTGCAGAAGCTCTTGGTGTTTCCACTGATTTCTGCCTGAGTGGTTACAGGATTGCTGCTCCTTAAAGAAACTGAAAATATCTGTATGGTAAATTCATACTCACTCTGTGATTGCTTCCTGGGTACTATTCTCTGTAATTTGCAAAGCTTTGTGTAACTGGGGTCAGATAATTTCCTCAAGGACAACTCAGCCAGTTAGAGGATTGTAATTGCCCATCTCTAGAAGCTGAACAGATAGGAGAGAGCCTTATGGCTTATCTGACAGTGAGTGCATTTGGTGGCCACCCTTCCTGGCTGCTGGAATAGCCCAGAACCAGATATAGCTTCCACTGACACTGTCTTTATCATCTCAAGGAGTTTGTTCTTGGGGCCTGAGAACAGCTTTGAGAAGCTGGTCACTGGTACTAGCCCAAGGAAAGTTTTGAGCTTTCAGCTTCCATCAGAGTCTCAAGCTTGTACTCTCCTGTAACAGTGAATTTGCTCTATTATTTGTTAAAATTCRTAGCTGGTAATTTTGTAGCTCTGGAAGGTTTTCTGGATGAGCCACACTGAATGATTATAGTATYCCCCTAGAATATTTGTAGAAGTTTGTCTTTGGGTGCTCCACTTTACCTCCTCATCTGTCATCCCTACACAACCAGATCTCTCAAATTCACAAAGCTAGAGCCATATGGCTGCCCTGCATCACTGTTCCTGCCAGTCAGTAGGATAGACAAGACCCCACTTCAAAGTCTTCTATTTGTTCTTATGGAGCTACTCTGATGATTTTTTTCCTTCTCTGGAACTTTGCTYCCAGGAAGAGAGTATCTTTAAAAGAACCAAAACACCAAAGCAGATATCCTACATCACAATTTTGATTCCCACTATTGCCCAGGAGCTCAGGTGACCCCAACACAGGAGGATATTACCCAACAGAGCCTCTCTGAACCCCTCTGAAGAGCTGATGCTTTGTCTCCCAGCAATTGATGACTGATGTGGTTATTGCAGTCTGGTCATGCAAAAGGAAGGCAAAGCACCACCTCMCACTCTGCTAAGCACCCCAAAAGTTTTAAGTTTGCAAAATAAATAAGATCCTCACCTCCATGCTGGCCAGTTCTTTGGCAGGGCTGAGGCTGTAGATAGGGTTGGCTCTGCTGGACTGGAGCTGGATGAGCAGCAGCAAGAGGAAGCCATAGAAAAATGAGCCTTTAGTGTCCATTTTCCTTCGTTGGAAATAGGGAAGTTCAGGCTGTTTCTTCTGAGATGTCCCTTCAAGTCTCTCTCTTCCTTGTCCTGTTGTCTCTCTTGTGAAGCTTGTCTTTTATACTCTTTGGGTGATCCCTGCTTCCTAGGTTATCGGTGGGTTTATCTTGGGCACATTCCAGTCCCACTGCAGGCATGCAGCTCTGTCAAGGGAAGATTCCCTTTATTAGCTGTCATTAGGCAGCAGCTGCTGTTGCTGAGGAATGTATGTCACAAGTCAGTGATTTCATGTCACTCCCCCTCCTCTTGATACCAGGCGCTGTGATTACATAGTCCAGTTGAAAATTCTTAGCAATTTTCTTTCAATGGACCCCTATGGTCAGATTTATGGAGATGGAAAACAAYCCATAAACTGCTCCAAACTCTGCTCAGTTCGAAGATTTCCATAAGGAAATTGGCTTTTACAGGGGAAACAACAGGCTTTCACATGAGTATTTGGTGAAGAGTCAAGAAWGAAGATAAATCGACTTTTAGGATGCATAAAGTATTGCACACGCTTTACTTCTATATATGGAATATGCGTGGCCACCGCGTATCACGGAGTGTGCTGAAAATCCCAATTTGGGCCACTTCTCTCTTCCCTCTGATATTGAGATGAAATCAGCATTGAGATTTTGTGTTTTACCAAGAAGAGCAGCACCTTGATCTGCACCTCAGTGCAGAGCGACTGTGGGGACAGCGAGTGCCTGCAGCCCCTCGCGACAGCCGGCTTCAGCACCGCTGGAAAACACCAGTGTTTAACAGCCAAACGTTTAAATAATGGGATTTCTGTAAGCATCGATGGTAAGGCTTGATTCTGCATCAATAAAATGTAAAGAACAGGCAGCCAGATTCAGCAGTAATCTTCTTTTACCGTCATACAAGAACGCAGTTTGCCTGTTGAGAACATAAACGGCTTTCAGCGTTGTTCAGAAAGGTATCAGAATCTGTACCAAAGGAAGAATGGATGAATTTGTGCATGTTTGTTTTATGAGGAGTTAAAAACAAAATCTTTAATTTAATATATTAGAAACAAAAAGTATTTATTTGTTTCTTTAAGCCTTAAAATTAGCTAGAAACTGTCTATTCTTAAATGAGAAATTATGAAAGTACAGTTTTTCTTCTAATTCCTCTTCCATTGTCTTTGTTTGTATAGTAAAACTGAAAAGTAATCTTTTTACAGAAATGCAAAAGTGTTCTAAATCATGAAGCAATGGCTTTTCTTGATTTTCCTAATGTTTCTTGTTATTCTAAATTGAAATAACAAATGTATGAGTAAGTTGAGTGTTAATCTAGTAATAATTTGTTGACTCTTCATATGAACGTAGATCTTGAAAGAATCTCCTGAGTACACTTCCAAAATTATAAYGGAACGATAAAATATTTCCCATGTCTTAAAGGTCTTAACATGGTGTTTGTGTGCAAACATGTGCACGTACTGTTCACATGATCAGCTACCAAAATTACTCCAGAAAGGACATTCTCAAGGTTGTGAGGTCATGCTCAAATGCTACTTTTTCCTAATATAGCCCAAAGTCAGCCCACTCTGTGTGTGTTCTGATGAAGCCCTTTATTATAAGAATGCTCTCTATTTTTCCTCAATGCTTTATTTTTTCAGAACATGGAGGCAATACTAGTTTTTTGTATTATTGTGTGCTCCAGCGATTCCTTATTTTGTGCTTTTAAAAAAGAACTGATAGCTTCTTTTTTTTTAAAAAATTAACACTCTATACTGCATTGTCTGTATAATTCATTAATTATTTACAAGTATTCTCTTCCTGCTGCTCTTGGTGTGTGTATGTTTGTTTGTGCCAAGATGTAACTTTGTTTTGTAAACTGTAAAAGTGGAAGAAGATAAACCAGAATTACTCATTAATTTTGAGTGTCCAATTTAAGATGATTATAACCTGCTATTATTGTATTTTTTGTTTCTTTCCTTTCACACACCACCCACACACTAATTATTSTCTAGCACTCTCTCTTTACAAAAACATTCTGTAGCTTGCTCTGTGTTTTGCTTTGTGTCTGTTTTTTTTGTATAGCAGCCATTGGGGCACAAACCCATGAGCAAGAAATTGTGGGACTCAATATTAATCTCAGGTGTGAAACATTTCACTGTCTCTGTGAAAGTATCAATTTTCCAGGATTTTAGTCATTAAGTTGGACCCTGAGACACTCATTTCTTTACTGGTTGGCTCCCTTTCACCTTCTGTGTTCCATGGCAGATAAATAAGATTTTATTTTCCTGGCAGTAGCATGACTTCAGCCTTGACAATATTTTCTAAGTCAGGGAGATTTTGTGCTCTATTTAATGTATGATGTAGTGAAGTGTAGAGATGGGATAAAATGGTTGCCTGTCACAGTAGCTGCTGTATTTTCACAGCCAAATTCTGCCCGCARTTATCCATCTTGCAGTTCTGCCAAAGTAAATGGAATGTGAAATGTCAGAACTCAGCTCATCACCGTTTAAGCTATAAAACTCACTTGTTTGTTTGTTTGATCTCAGTGTCATCGCCCCCCTGGTAAATGCATATGAACTTTAGGCTTTATAGCCCAGCAGTGGAGAGTCGAGAYCCAGGCATTGCCCTGCTGGGCTTTCCCTGGTAAAATCTGCTTTACAGGGCAGCAGGTTCTGCTGGAAAGCTCACTGGGGCTGGTTTTAGGGCTGGGAATCTGGTGCATTTCCTCAGCATCCCAGAGGATGGCATGGGAGATGTGGGAGGATGAGGTTTCGTTAGAACAGATCAGAGAGAGAGGGAGGGCACCAAAGGTGCTGCTGTGACGAGGAGGATGGACACAGCTCAGCTGAGGTGACATTGCCCCTTCCCCAACAAAGTGATTCTATGTCCTTGTTTTTCAGCTCTGTAAGGCTAAGGACCACAGATCTGGGGGCTGGTGTCATGTGTGCTCCATCTGCTGATGGATAGAGCTGCCCTAAGTGCTGCCTTGACCTGCTGCACATCCTTCTGGTGATGTCCATTCTCTTCTGCCATTCTGTGCTCAAGAGTGTGAGCCTRTTGTACAGAGCCTCCTGTTCTGAGGAACAGGCTGAATTTGGATTCYTTTCATCTCCCAGTGACAAAATCTTTGACAAAGTATGCCAMACCCCACCCAGACTCTCTTTTCCTKCACTTCAGTTAGATTGAGAAGGAAATGAAGACATGAAGCCATCAGGCAGGAGTCAAAACAGAAATGCAAAAAAGTCTGAAGCAGCCATGCTGCAATTAAGCGGTGCCTCACTTTCTCCAAGGGGACAAATTAATTTTCATCCTAAACACGGATAGTTTCTCCTGGTGATCGGGATATATTTATTATCTCAGTGTTGCGGCTGCTCGTTCCTTTGCTGGACTCAAGCTGAGTGCGGGCTGCGAGGAGCCCTGGGCAGGCGGGGCGATTGGCGTCTGTCCCGGGTGCTGAAGCCTTCCCTGGCTTTGGGCAGCCGCTGCCAGATGTATTTTTAAAGCGATGGAGCCCCTCTGTCCTCAGAGTCCCCCGTGCAGTTCTGCCGTGCCAAGCCTGGCACTGATGCCAGCGGTTTAGCCCTGACACAGGGGCGGGTGTAGGAGCTCCGTCTGCGGCAGAGAGGAGGCTCCTCCACTGCCTCTGTCCCTCCGTGCTCTGGGGAGGATCCCCGCTCGGCTGCTCTCTGCCCACAAGAGCTCCAGCTCAGCTCCGGCCATCGTTTCGTTTCTCCCGGGCTCGGYTGCTCTTCCTCTTCCCGGAGTGCCGCAGTGACTGCAGCATGTCCTGAAGAGGGGAGGAGAGGAGGGACAGGGAACCCTGCTCCTGTCACTTGGCTCCGGCGGGGCGGATGCTGTGGC